CCCCAGTGCAGTGATGGGGACACTGAGGCCAGCAGGTTAGCCTGTCCTGTGGTCTGTGTGGACCCCACTGCCCCAGTGCAGTGATGGGGACACTGAGGCCAGCAGGTTAGCCTGTCCTGTGGTCTGTGTGGACCCCACTGCCCCAGTGCAGTGATGGGGACACTGTGCTATAAAAATGATGCTGTTCTTCAAACAGATATAAAGATATATGAGATATAAAACTGAGGTCCTGACTCATAAAACTGGCTAAAATTGCCCACTGTGGCCCTATCAAATCTAGCCTCCTAATCATCTTACTGGTGAATTCTCTCCTGCCCCTTAGCTACTGTGTGGGGAGCATACTGGTGCAGAATGGCTGCCGTCGTATCATCCAGGTGGGGGCTACACAGTGGTGGTGGTTGAAGTGGCTCACCATTGCTTCTGTAAAGCGCATTGGGTGTCATGAAAAGCACTATAAAATACAATTTTCATTCATTTCATTTCACAAGTGTGTTCTCTACACATCTCTCTTTTTTCATGTTTTGAATCTGTTTAAGGTGAATCTAAAGGAATTTTAAGTAAAATACCTAATATATTAGCCCAGGCGTTACAAACCCCCGGACCACGCATTCCGAAAGCAGAGCTGCCCCCGTCCAGTATACACCGCTCTCGCGATAGTAACAGAGTTTAACACAAGAATGGCGTAAATAAATAAATAATTTAAAAAAAACAACAACAGAGGATCCATTTAAGCAACAGAAAGGCTGGAGGCAAAAAAAGCCCTGAATGTATATTGTTTTTCTCCCTTTTAATTTTTATATATGGAAACCAGAGACTTGGCCATTAGCTCAAACCAAAACCACAATATATGACCAATTAATTCATACAGTTCATCAAAGTCAAAATAAATGAGACGTTTATTACCACAGTCATCGCCTACATAAATTAATGTTCTTGATACTGGCATTAATTACGGTGATTACAATACAGTGGATAACTTGGGGGTTACAGGCGACAACTTTGACACCAGTACTTAACAGTTCTGGTTAATGGGACATGCAGTTTACACGGTGATTTGAAATGAAAATCGTAACTTGTATTTCAAAAGCCCTCATTACGTTATTTTCATCTAACGAGGGCTGGCTGACGCCCGTTGTCACCGTGCAGGAGTATATCGATCAGGATATAATGGAAAAACTAAGACGAAAACTAATATTTACTCTAAAACAATTTTGCCTAACGCTCGTATATATGTTCGGACAAAACGTGGATCCTTATTCTTACCATTTTTGAGGCGTGCCTTGGCAGAAGTGTGTTGCAAACTTTGAAAAGAGGACAATGCAATACACTACCAGACATACGTGTAAACATTAACCAAGGCATGTTACACACAATTACCTCCCAGCGACGTCCAACGTGCGCCTGCCTTACGCAGGTTACGCTAAGGTCCCCCGAAGGGCTGTGAGCCGTCTTTCTCTTTGCCTGTTAGAAAATAATATCTTATCGTTGTCACTAGCTGATTAGCATTCTTTATAAGATTTGAAATGAGAGAATGGATAACAGCAAATCTTTACACAAACAAGGTCTTGTCAGAGAATATCAGTTTGTGTGCACTGTAGATTCTTCTTCTTTCCGAACGATGCACTGTAGAGCACAGTAGACGGCGTACGCACTTCTCATTTAGAGTAATCTTTAGGGCCAAATCCACAGAAGAAAATAATAAAAATGTGTTATATTTTATATGAACCAAACCGCCTCCTTGGATATAAATGTTAAATACATATTTTGCCAATATGACACTCCATTATTCTTCAACTTTGATTAACACTAATATATAAACAACACAAAGTTATTACCCGAATAAAGGCTTTAGATTAAGATAAAGTGTGTTTTTGTTTTTCATGCTATGTGACATATAAGCGCACAGTGGCATTCTGGTGTTACATTCTGGTGTTCTCTTTAATTCTTCTTCGTGTCGAGTCTACAGGTCAAAGGAGATGATCCAAAATAAAACTGCTACTGAGATTTCTGTGAATTTCATTGCAATCTCATGTTCTGTCCACAAAGTTGAAGTTAAGGATGTAAGAGAAGTATAAGGTTTAGGTGCTTAATGTTCTTTCTATGAACCCCTGGTGTGTCACTCATATATTTCCACACCCAACTGGAATTTCTGTATGCCGCATAGTGACAATGGTACAGAGAGGAATCTGCATATATTCATTTTTTCATTTGAAATAGCTGATTTTATGTATTGCATGTTGTCTATGAGCACACTGTGTCCTCCGAATGTAAAAAGTTTGACAAATGTAAAAATGTAAAAAGTACCAACATGCTCTACTGTTACATCTTTTAGAATAAAAGCAAACTTCAGCCAAATTTCCTCAGTAAATAACTGTTTAAAGAAGTTAGTAAACAATTAAAACTTTATATAATATTGTATAATTCCACCATTGATTACTGATTGCTGTCAAGATTATGTCATTGTCCCTTTTTGACCGTTGCTTCGAGCTATAGCTGTCGCTAATCATTGGGTTAAGCCAAGTAGATACATGAAACATGTTTTCATAATACAATTAATTACCAATGTTCAGTTTCATAATTGTTTTGCAAATATTTTTCTGGACAAAAATACTTGTGAAAAACAGACATAATCATGTTTAGGATATTCATATGTTTATTACACGAATATTCTCCACACTTAACAATCATGCAAGAAAAAAATACAATTTTGTGATGATAAGAGTCCCGTCTCTGATCAAATGAACTGCTAACAATGCATGACATAACATTTAGTTAAAAATTTATTGTTTGTTGAGAGAATAAGTCTTTGTCAGAGAGAGCTGGGAGAGTGCTTATCAATGTCCATTGCAGTTTCTGTTCATAGGCCAAGAAGAACTTTGTAAGGAGGCTAAGCATGATAGATTTTTGGTAGTAGTAATAGTAAAATGGCTTCTTAAGCAACACTACATTACCGTACCATACATTTTTCTCATTTATTGCTAATCTAAATGACCCCTCTAAATGATCTGTTTCACACATGGAGAGCATTTAATTGGTGTCGTTTTTAGTTTATTTTCTAACTCTTAAAACAACACAGCCAAAGTCTGTATTCACCAGTGTTTTAATGGAATTTAAACATTTTAACATTACACTACATCCAGGTCTTTCTACAAGATCCACTTTGTCCATTTTAGAACTTGGCCTCAAGGCTGACAAATATGTAGGCTTTTATGGACTAACCCTTAAGCCGACCACAGAGGAGTGTCGCCTCTGGAATATTCCAGTAAGTGAATATTTCCAATAGAAAGAATTCATATCTGCATATCAATAAAGTCTGTTGAACAAAAAATACATGTGACAAAATGCGAATGACCTGGGATCAGTAATATGTTGAAAGAGGAACAAACCCAACGCAAATTTCAGCACCATGTACTGTACAGACAAAGGTGCATTTTAAAACAACATAAATGCCAAGTAAAGAATGACGTGACTATATGAATAAAGACAGATGTGGGCACAATAAAGGAGGCAGCTTAGCAGCCATATAGCAAACGATTCCAGGAAAATCCAGTGGACGGCCCAGACTACACCTCAGCACTGCAGTTTCTTAGCTTTTTATTCAGTTAAAACTGCCGGTTATTTGAAAAAGCTCTGAATGGCAAATTACACACACTTTAAGACATACTGACAGATATTAAATAACATAGTTCTAACCGAATAGTCTCCTTTAAAAAAACGATGCATGTCAATAATAAAAATGATGTGAATGGAAATTGATTTTTGTTCATCTGCTCTGAATCTGCTTTACAAGTCATCATGCTCAATTAAGTGTAAAGATCACAGAGATGTACGTGAAAATCATGGTGTATTATTTGCTCAATTTTAAATTCTTTAGTTGGTAGACAGAAAAACAGACGGGAAGCTTTTAAATGATGATCCAGCTTACTGCCTATCCTTTGGGTGCCTACAGTTACTTTTAGAATAACATTTAGCTTTTAGATGAACAAGACAAATGTTGGACGTTCTTTAAAGTGAAACATCACAAGAAAGGTACGAACCATTCAATGATTAGCAAATAACTGATAACCATAAGGATAATGAGAAAGACATAAACAGATATATGAAGGTTAAACCACAGAATAAAGCAGCATAAAATGTAAATATACCGTTAACAGTGGAATATAATCTGATTACCCTATGACCCTTTTTTATGATTTTACAGTTTTGTACTGTTTAAAACATCATTAGCCTCCAACCTTAAATTTTCATACGAGGAATCGACAGCAGAGTGAATTTCACGATATTGCACCAGCAGAAGTACGAGGAGAAATTAAACAAAGAACCGAAATAAAAATAAAATAAAAACCAAGTAAATAAGACACAACCACAAAAAAGTATATAAGGTGTATGTCACTATAGGAAGTGAAAGCATAACTTGTTTCCCTTAGAAGAATATATGAATGGGAAATATGAAAATCCCCCCAAAATATTAATACACTTATAATATGAAGCCCACAGACAGCAGCATGTTTACTCTAAATTAATGACCAGCGTGTCCATATCCTACAGTATAAGAACTTCTCAGTCTAACTGTGCAGTGATTTCAAAACTCTTTGTTCACCTGATTCATATTTTATTTTGTATGACAGGTGAAAATTCAGTAAATAGACAATAATTTAACCGAATTTCTCTTTTTATTTTGATGTGGTGTAACCTATATCTAGAACATACTCATATTTTAGTCTTTCGTGTGAATTTCAAAGTACCTGGTGAAACATTAGAAATTACACATACGCTCATAGTATTTTGTCCCTAAAGATTCTTTTCCACATAAAAAACAGTGAGTAATGGTTCCTTAATTTGTCATGTACAACCGACAAATTGACAAGTCATTCAAAGCCTACTTCAACTAGTGTGTATCAAACGGTGACCACAGCAAATTTTTGGAGTGTGTGAGAATTCTGAAGCCACAAAATGGGCCATAATTAAAACAAGCCTATCATTTTAGAAATCCCATCAGCCTATACAAAGAGGAGTAAAATGAAGCACTTTGCAGATTAAATAGTGTTTTTACACAATATTTTTTCCCATCGTACTAGTTATACTCAAGAAGTGTGGTAACGTGATTTTGCTCAAAGGAAAGATACATGTATATTAGGGCAAAACTCTTCAGAAAAATATTCTTTAATATACAAATACAGAATTTATGTTAAATAAATGCCCATTAATCAATTAAATATCTTGGAGTGTAAGATCTAAAGTATTTACTGCTGTTTAATATCTTTCTCAGTCTGCTGCAGTAACATAACGCTAAATGATAAATGTGCAAACACGTTTTATCCAGCACTGCGCTCATTCTGACACAACCGAGCATGCAACTGACAGTTTCCGTAAAAAGAAAAATGAGCAAACTTTAATGCAAATACGACCAGTCCCGTGGCGGATAAACAGTAACTTCTCTAATGTGATATCATCGTAATTCTCATTTTAAACACAAAGTTTAACATACTGACATACCAAAAATAAAAAAAGATTCATTTGAGGCTGGTAGACAGTAAAATACCAGCCAATCTAAACACACCTTTTATACCATAGAGCCACGGATACAGTCGCACGTCTCCCCCCGACAGGCGGCAAACGGACAGGCCGGGCTTCACTCGTTAGCTTCCTTTTCCTTGCCAGAGGGTTCGCACAAGCCTTGCTTATGCATCATTGTATAGGGGAAAGCAGCCCCACTGCAGGTCCCATAGGCCAGTTTGTTGAGGCGAGACAGCGCCTTGATGCTGCCCGGCGGCCGGCCTGGGCTTACCTTATAGCCCGCAGCCTTGGTAGTGCCCAGAGGCCTCCCTGGACTCGTTTTGAATCCAGCCGCTTTTGTAGTTCCCAGAGGGCGCCCAGTGCTTGTTCTGTAGCCCGCAGACTTTGTGGTCCCCGAAGGCCTGCCTCGTCTCCCAGACCTCCCAGTGCCTTTCTTCTTCTTGGAATCATCAGTCTCCTCATTGGCTTTAAGCCCCACTGCCTGGAGATGAGTCTCGTTCCGGGCGTCCAGCGTCTGACACGACACGGCCTTCAGCGGGCTCTGTGCCAGCGGAGGCAGCGGAGGCAGCGACAGCTGCAGGGATGCAGGCGGGGCAGGTGGATAGAACTTGTTAGGCTGCGAGGCGCACAGGTCAAAGTGAGACGCGGGGTGTCGGCCATCTTCTGCCAGGCAGGAGGCCCTGCCAGTCATGCAGTAGTCATTGTTGTTGGCAACCTGGCGCATCATTTTCTGCTGATGGGAAAACGCACAGAAATGAAGAGATTGTCATTATTGGGGACAAGTAGATATGCTATTAAGTCAAATATAAACCAACGCACCAGGAGAAATATTTGCAGAAAGCATTAATAATTAATGTGAAACCTAGGCTGCAATAATAACAACCTGGTTAACTTTTGAAAACTAACATAAGTTGCACTTTATAAAATGGCAGCGGCACTAATATGAAGCGGGCAGAGGGCAGAGGCCGGCGGCACTATGGCAGCGTAACGCCGGGCAAAGCGGCGTGGGGTCCGACCCGGCTATTACCCTTACGGACACTGCAATCTCTATAAAAAAGACTGTTATCAGATGCTAAAAACCCAAATATCAATCCGAATATTTTTTCTGAGCAGCCCAATATACCGTAAACGAACAATAGGTTTTATTTCCCTCACGCAATATTAAAATTATCGTACCATAATTCACCGCGTACACTACTCGCAGTTAAAAGTAATACAAGTTGAATATAACGCGCGGTTCTTGCACAGTACAACCTTTTATAAAACAACCAAAATATTAAACGCATACTGTACCTTAATTGTTTGGGGATCATGGGACCTAAAGGGTTAAATATAAAAATGATATATTTCCCATCATTAAAAACCTAAAATGGAGTCATTTTTACAATGAATCGCGTGCAGTTTATCATTACCCTTTCATCGAATATCCTTCTAGTCCAGTGAATAATGCAATCCTTCGTTATTTTCGAGATTTGGTTTTTCCTTTTGCAGAGAGGTTTAGATTGGAAAGGCAGCCATTTCCATTAAAAATTAATAAAGCAGGAGGAAACAGTGCGCATGCGCACCTTCCAACCGGGAATTGCGGCAACACTCGCTCAAATAAATAATGCAATTTTAATTAACTTAAGGCTGCGTCTGCGGCTGCATTACGCACACAGTGAAAACACACTATATAGATATTATATAGATATATGCATATATATGTTAAGGTAAGGTCTCATTCAGTCACTGCACCACGGATCCCAAACCCCACCCCTTTGCGTGACAAAACGTAACCTATTACGTCGACCGGCATAATTCCAGTAAAACGTCGACCTGTACAAGTCATTGTATACTCGTATAACTTATGTACGTTTAACTTTTGTTATTTATTTGACATTATTATTATTACAATAAAATTAAAAAATAATAATACATATAAAAAATTGATCCCAACTGTTATTAAATTAAATTTTCCCCTTTTAGAAAATTAAGTGCTTTAAACTTCTTATTAGTTCTTCTTTCCCGTTACATTCGTTAGAAAAACAAGATTTTTAATCTTAAGTGTCAAAATGTGTAATAAAGTAGCCCTTTCAGTCATTTTATGATTGTTTGGTATTCTTCAGACAGGTACCTGTAATTATAATGATCTGATATCGATTTGCATATATTAATTTGGCAAATGCTTTTATCCAAAGTGACATGCAGCAGATAGATCAGGGTCAGGCAGTCTTTGAAGCTGTTGTGGTTAAGGGCCCTGCTCAGAGGCCCAGTGATGATTCCAGTCAGCCAATCATGGGATTTGAACTGGTGACCTTCCGATCATATAAAGTACAGATATTTTATGGGTTCCACTGAAATAAAGGTAGTTGATTACGAGAAAGATCTCGGTATGTATGTTGATGCTTCCATGTCCCACTCTCGCCAGTGTGGAGAAGCAATAAAAAAAAAGGCGAACAGAATGTTGGGTTATATCTCTAGATGTGTGGAGTTTAAGTCAAGGGAGGTGATGTTACACTTATATAATTCCTTGGTAAGACCCCACCTAGAATACTGTGTGC